TGCAGATACCTATGACAAACTTACCGAGTACTACTTCTGTCCTTCTTTAATCTATTACATCAATTGTGGTACTAGATTAAAATTACACTTCAGTAAACTACTCCTACATTTTACTAATTTGCTAAGGTATTAAATCTAGTACATCAATTGCTGTACTAGCTGTAAAGGAGTGTCACGCTAGAAAAACCATGTGTCATTAGTTTATTTTAATAATTTGTGTGTGTAGCAAGAGTAAGGTTTATTTGCCTTGTAATTCAATGTTTATCACAGACCGTTTACCCCATAAAGTATTTCACTTTTCAGGTAGAAACTGTAAATTTTGAAAATTAGCGAGTGCCATTTGGTTGTAATACCATAGAGGTAACTCTAAGACTAGTAGGTCCCGAAGAAACGTGCTCAACTTTTTGGCTCAGCTCTGGTACTCTTTTCGGTTCTAAGCTAATCGATTCACCCCTCGAAACCTAGGAAAATCCACTAACCCCTCATTTTATCTGTTAAACTTTCATAGAGAATCAAAACAATCATAGTGTAGTACTAGAATATCAACTAGAATGGGGTACGTTAATCGATTTGCTTGGGACCAATAGGCTAGTCAAGTAGTGAGCCAATTTAACATCGTTAGTTTCCACCGTTTGGTAATACTCTCTCGTACACACACATTTACCCATTCGATTTTACATACACATAGGTTCGTTCAAGGTAAACTAGCAGAGCGTCATAGCTGGGGATAACGAATGAAAATAAAGCAGAATCTGTGCACGGTAACCGCAAACTACTCAATATTGAATACAAAGATTCTAACTAATCGAATGTAAGAAATCGCAAGCTATATTATTAAAACTTTCGTTATTTTTTATTATTTTTTTTTTATTTCAGGGCAATTATTCTTGGATAATTTCTTTACTCTTTTTTGGTAAATAATCCTTTTATTAAGCAGAAGAATAAAACAATCCTACTTTCAAAATCCATTACATTTTTAATTCGTATGGATGATGAAAGGTCAGATATGCACTGCTAAGTAGATGGATTTTAAAAGTTCTCTTAAAAGTCTAAAAACCTATTATTATTAAATATTTTAATATATATTAGCAGAAAATTGCTCAAAACCAGTGAATATAATTTTGGCCAGGTTTTTGTTCCAGTTACTCCTCTGTGTGTTGCATGGCCTATTTTATTTTTGTTTGAATTCATCAATCGTCATTATTCATTTATGTATACAAACTTGTTCTTCCTTGGAGAATCTCGATCCATAAGCCTTCTGTTTCGTTCTCGTCGGGCAAACAAGACTCGACGGACGGTCCTCACCGGAGCTGGCGCTTAAGCCGTCCGTTTATCGAGCCAAGGAACGTTTCAGGAGACGGAAAACCGTTAGCCGCATTTTGGGCGCTACACGGTATGTTAAGGCTGTGTTCCATTTGGTGATTTTTTACTTAAATTTGATAGATAGTAAATTTTCAAATAAACCTGCTATTGGCCGGCGCCGGTGGTGTAGTGGTAAGCGTGACTGCTTTCTCACCCCAATGGGCCTGGGTTCAATCCCAGCCGAGGTCGGTGGGATTTTTCTAAGGGATAAACATCTCTGGTCACGTCTTCCTTCGGAAGGGAAGTAAAGCCGTTGGTCCCGGCCCATGTGTGTGTTGAATGGGTGCGATATTCTACGCAGGAGTGGAAGCTGCCTTCCTGCACATTCGATTGCCGTCAATGGATGGCAATCGATGTCCATCGGTGATTGGCACTAGATTGCGGAACAGAGACCGACGTTAAATAAAGGAAAAAAAACCTGCTATTGATGAATTTAAGCAAAGGTAAAACTGGCCGTGCGACACCTAGTTTTCAGATTTGCAATTACAAAACTGATGATGTACTAAAATATATTCCATACGATTTGACAGGTAGCAAAACGTCATTATCATTTTCACATCATTTCCATCTGCTGGTCAACCGTCACGTAAATTCATCAATTCCAGTAGACTTATTTCTGACATACAAGGAATCAATTTTGACAGACGCTTTCTCGAAAATCGACCGATCAACAACAGAGGAATTTTCGAACATCTGAATTTATTTTCGAAGCGTCAAATCTAAGTGAAAATGTTCCAAATGGACAGCCTAAGTAGGTTTTCAGTGCAATTTTGCTGATAAAAAATTTAATTTAACTTAATTTCCTTTAAAAACGCATGTAGATTGATATTTCTGCGCCCAGTTTTTGTAAAAAAAAAAACGATTTTTGGAGCTGGATACTCATGGAGTACCCATGAGTAACCACCATGATGCCTATGGTCCACACTAGATCTTCCGACACGCCGCTGCCGCCGGATAATCGCGTCGATCTTCTCCTGTGTCCGATTCAACTTTGTGTGAGTTTGGAATAAAAAAATATAGTACCTTGATGTTTTTGACCAAATTTTGGAGTGTATGAACGTTCTTCATTTGCTCATTTTACTATCTAGAGGTGATGGAATGACAGTTATGCCACGGATACACTTGAATGGCAATCTATGAACTTGAGCATTATTTGTCTAAAAATTCATGAGAAAATCCATAAACTATACAAGTGTAAACCATGGATGTGCTCATAATTTATTATACAAATTATGCTCATGCTCATAGATGGTCATACGCTGCATTATTACAATGCTATATTCGACGGGTTTCATACTATCATGTTTCAAACAAGCCACGCGATTTTTTTTTTCTTGATTTGTTTTCCGTGTTGAGCACCAATGCTACCGACACCTGGGAGGCACGTCCCACACCTGGACTCTACCTGTCGACCCATCAACTCATGAACCGGGGACCAACGGCTTTACTTCCATTCCGAAGGAAGGCGTGATCAGAGATGTTATGCCTCAGAACATCCCGGCGGCCGACTGGGATTGAACCCAGGCCTGCTGGGGTGAGAGGATGCGAAAAAATGTCGACCGTAATAAAATCGAAACTTTACTGTATTTAAAATTACCTGGGGAAGAACAATTGAAGACGATCGGAACGTAATAAAACACAATAAGCTCCGTATAAAATTCAACTGTCAGATTTACTTTTCATCACACCTTTAGGCTGCCCCATTTGCATGAATATTCAGACCAAAGACGCTTTGATCTTTTAAGTTTTAGTGATGTTAAAAGACACGTTGTCAAATCGAAAAGACCGTAACCGCTTCGTAGCCACTGCGCTTGGGCTTGCTGTACTGTTGACTGTCGATATTTTCCGACCACAAGCCAGGATCGAGTAAGCTTTAGCCTAAGGGACGGGAGGGCAGCGCATATCGATGTACACATCGGTCCGAAAAAATAACCAACTGTTTGTGGCGTAGATTTCCAGCCGAACGAAGCTCGTCCCGGTGGCACCTTCAGTCATCTCCGCTCGAAATCCGGCCCATCTATCTTGGTTCGACTCCAGTGTAATATAGTTGATATTGGCTCCCATCGGCTGCAAATTAAATCGAAATTTGATTATTCGGCAATCGTAGGATAAATTTTAGTAATCACATGACGATAGTGAACCAGCTGTGGTGAATGGCTTCCGTCTAGAATTTTCTTGCGAAAACAAATGACATCGTTCGGGTCGTACTTGCCAAACTGTATGAACGATGGATAGTTCTGGAAGAAAAACCCAGCTGTGTTCACAGGTCGTACTGACCACCGTTCAAGGAGTAAAAGAATCAAAGTGAGGTACGGAATAGTGGCTTGCATTTCCTACAATATGGTATACGTTTGCGCGTGCTGTTAACTGAAATGCATCGATCCAGAGGGGGATCCTTTTATAAGATTGCTGGTGACCCACATTTCCCACGCACCTTCGGGACTTTCGTTTCGCGTGTGCATTTCGTTTCGGTAGATTTATTCGGCTGTTGACGTACTTTCGAGTGATCGAAGTAATTCTTTGTGGTAGGATTGGCCTTAAATCGTGACGCTCCACAATGGGGCAACGATCCCGGTTGCGTGGCCAAAACCTCTAGAGCCGTTGGTATGCATCATAAAAATCTGCAGTCCACTGTACGCTCGCTGAAGATGGGCTGCAATTATGATTGTTGATTGAGTGGTTTTACGTGTTAAAGATTTCATTTCTTTTGATTATACTTCGGATGCGAATAGAATTTACAAAAGAAGGCATGTCACATGTCATATTTAAGCTTCCATATTTTTACATATGTAGTAGGTACTCAATCAAACTGTTATGTCATTCAAATCAATCGAAAGGAACTCAATTCCGCGTCTCTGAACTTACCTGACTCAACTTACCTGGTAGCCTGAGAATGATACAATGTTGTCGATTACGTGTATCTTTTATCTTATAATATATAAATTCAGTGAATAAATTTGGCATGAAATTTAATCGATTTAATTACACGCAACGTGTGGTTGCGCCTATTAATTAAACATGACACATCGTACGTGCAACGCCGCATTATGGCTTTTTGTAAACCGGCAGATCTAGATGCTGCTATCAGGTGAGAACGTACACTCTCGAACCATACCACACCCTCGGAGAACGTTCCTCACTTTGCAAAGCATCATCATTCTTACTCAATTACCAAGTTCATTCCCGCATGAGTTAGCTGACTGCGTGTGGCCCTCATCCCTTATATCAATGCGATCAGATGTACATCAACGAGAGGCTCCCCCGGTTTTGTCATTTACATTCTCAGCTGTAAATGATTCGTCAATTAGTACATTTTAACCCTCTCCCTCTTAAGTGGGAGCTAATGAAGATCTTATGCACAATTGTGCGCAATTTTGAGGCATCACTTATTATGAACCCGAGGGGTCGCTCGGTAATTCCTGATCCGACAAAGCCATACCCCGGAAGGCTAACATCCGTGGACCCCACAGATCTGTGGCTCGCGTATCGCTCTAGACTTATGGATCATAATTGATCGCAGATGATCTAGTGTATTGCTAGTTGCGTGCCTGGAATACATAACGAAATATTTCGAATTATGACGAATCGGTATGTGTTTTCCATTTCGCGACCGGAGTGCAGTCAGTCGAACGTCGTTGCCGTCATCTAAGACGACGTTAGACACCCGGTCGATCTAGACGTGCCAGCGCGATGGTGGTGATCAAATTGTAAGTTGCAATTGCTTTCGGAAAAATTGGACCATAATTATTGATCAAGCAAGTTCCCATTTCTACAGCTCAACTCTACTCCTGCTGGGTCTTGCCGTACTGACCAGCGCCCGATATGAGCGGTACATCTGCCAGGTGATTGAAGACGATTGGTGTACCCTGCAGAAGATCTACATCACTTCCAGAACGGATGTGCGGGGTCTCCGGTTTCCGGATGAGAAGTTTGAAAAGATTCGAATCGGGCAGCACTATGATTTCGCCAATACCGACAGTGTGATCAGTATTTACTCGGCAGGATTATTCCGGAGGATGAGTCGTGCACGGTATCTTCAGATGAACGCCGTAAGGATGCAGGGTCTGGACATGCCCGATACGGTACTGGAGTTGGACGTATCGAACAATTGGATCACCCGGATCTACATCGATCCGGACAAGAGTTACAGTTTGCGGAAGTTGAAGATGAAGAACAATCTGGTGACGAGTGTTGCCAGTTTCAAGTATCTAAACCAGCTGGACGAACTGGACATGAGTGAAAATTTGGTGCACATGGTGAATTTCGAACTGTTCTCGTTCATGCCTTACATACGAAACATTGATTTTTCGCACAACCGGCTGTTGGAAGTGCGACCGGGTGACGTTGAGTTGGTCCTGTACTATTTGGAGCGATTGGACCTGGCAAACAACCAGCTGATTGGAATGGAATTGAAGCGATGGACATTCCCCTCACTTCGGATGTTGAACATGACCGGTAATCCGATCCAGCGGATGGATTATTTCGAGGTGCAGCGTGCCTTCCCTCGACTGTGGAGAGTGACCTACTAAACTGATGTGAGTCACAATAACGGTTGATCGCGCAAGCGCCAGATAGTTAACACTCAGATTGATCATCTGAATTCGCAGAAGTCATTCGACTGTGAAAATGTTACATGAATCAAGTCCAAATGGAATTGCGCCGTGCGATGTGATTGAATCCAGCAAATCTATAATTATATTATGTGTAAATAAAATTGAGTTTACATCTAGTGCAATAGGTTACTGTTATACATATGTGAATTTCCTGAAAAATGAAGAGGTGTTATATTGTACTTCCATAGAACAAGGGACAGTTATGCAATTTTACAAAATTTCAAGGTATAATAATGGTACATTGCTTATTGCCTTTAGCGGTTATTTGTGCTGTTTGAGTCAAACAAGTGAAAAATTAACTTTTGACTTTGTAAGACGGACACCTTGAGGATTGTTATCGTTTTTTGTCAATAAATAAAGTATTTTGCGTGTACAGTCAAGACTCCTATAGTACCATTTGGGATTTGAGCTAATTGGGACCAAACACTGATTGTAAGGCAATTTGAAGAGATAACTTCATGATGTATTCCCTTTTGGGAATATCTAGTTTCATTAGGTCACAAGGCTGCCCAAGTAACATTTAACGTTTTATAAAGTACTACAAGGCTTCTATAAAACAACATTCATAAAACCCTGCTCAAGATAACTTTGCCTTTATTACAACCACCAAAACCTCATTAAGACTAGAATCTGTCTAGTTGGCCCACCCTGAAGAAGGTTCTAAAGAGTGTATTATCGAGGCATTTTAAGAATAACTTTATTTAAAGTACAATAAAAGCCATTTGGCATCAATACCTGTGCCATTTGCTTTTGACGCTTGCTAAAAATAAAGCATCAATAAAGATAAAAAGGGATACATACTGTCAAAAATCCTCATAAATTTCCTCCACATTAAAGTGAAAGAATTACTTAAATTATCGAATCTCATATTGTGGTCTATTCTTAGGTGACAGATTAAATATAATGTGAAATTTGTTTCGGAAGATCGAAAAAAATAAGTCCGCCTTCGGAAATCGTTGATTTGACTAATTATTTTTAATTTAGGAAACAAAATATAGTTGTATGTTATTCATTGCTCCCAGCCGACACAATTTGATGATTTTTGTAATCTCTTTCACTGCTCATTGATAATTTGATGAGAATAAAGTTATTTTAAAGGAAAAACATCTTTAAAAACGAAGATTGTAAAAAAACAAATGGAATAATAACAATATGGCGGTAGCATAAACATTAATTTTCCATACGCCATTTATGAAAAAGCTGTTTTGCTTTCATGAAATTGGTAGCAAATGCAAAACATTTTAATGCGGCTTTTATGAAGATAATTTGCAGACTGAATTATTTTTATTTGAAGCCATTTTGCTTGATCCTATTCCGATTAGTTTTATCACGGCATTAATGGTGGAAAAGTTGCCTGGAAAAAGTTACACGTCAAAATTTGTTTATATTTCGATAGTTTTGATATGCGATCATTGCAATGAGGTTCTACTCCAGCATTGAACCAACAAGTTGCGTGACATCCTCGGGAAGTACGATTTCATCCATTTGAAGCAGTTAATCAGGAACCTATATGACTTGGAATAGGTGGAAGCACAATCGTTCCAGAAAAGTTTTCCTTCTTCCGGATGATGCGATGAAGTTTATGTGCACTTTCTTGGAATTTTTGGAACAACGCCGAATGAAATCGTTGCTATGGTTTGGAAGGCAGCCAATTTCCAGCCGACGGACAGCTTCTAGAGTTTCCTCTCAGGAGTTTTCCGCAGTCCCAGTTTGGCACTGATGCTATTCGGATCATCATCGCAACGTTATTTCTGGAGAAGGCTGTCATTGACAATATGCTGTGAATTCCCATCAATTTTAAGCGTCTGTTTTGTCGTTGTTGACCGATTTTGTCGGAGCTGCCCTCCCAGAAAGTTCTAGAATTGGATTCATTTTCTCTTCCGTCGACATCATTGCTAGAATTATTACTCGATTATCCTTTGGCATTTCCTTGTAACTCTGCGTTTGAAAGCCCCACTAAATTAATTTCTCTGTCTCTAGGCGGATCCATCTTTTTAGTTTTATTTGGGAGTGGGAGGTTTTGTCATACACTTCATTGACACCAAAACGCATCAATATATGCTTTTTGATCCCGTTTGAAACCGAACGGTTTTATTATTTGCTTTTATAATGATAAAACACCGTGGAGTATTTTGTAGTGACATCAATAAAACAAATACCAATTGATTTACTGAACAGTTTTATAAAAGGATATATTGCCGTTATACGCATAAGAGTCCCACGGTGCATAAGGATTGCATAGAACATTTGACAGTTATGCGTATATCGGCAGTAGAGTGCTGCATTAAATTCATCACACTTTCTGATTTTCTCGTCAGGCTTTTCAAAAAAGCATAAAGCTGAACTACTAATAAAGAATGTTTTGTACTTTTAAATGCTGTATTTAAACTAAGAAGATTGCTTATTGCCGTTATAAAACCACAATAAATCAGAGTGAAAGCCAAAAGGCTGTTGAATTGCTACTTGGGTGGTCCTGTGGACGATCCGGAACAATCGTAAAAGTGGTCAATTCATGAAACTTATCCTGGATCTCCGCGGTTTTTTTTTTCGAAACCACTCTAGATGTTGTTTGAGAATGAATTCGGATATGGAATTGAGAATGGATTCGAAATATGGACCCAGAGAATCACGAAATGGACCTTTGGAAGATCCGGCTGAAAAGGCCAATGCTCTTGGCCAACATTTTGTGATTTCACATAATCTTGGCCTAGCCATGGTGAGCCCCCATGAGCCTGCCATACTGGAGGCAATGTCTAGAGTCGCTGACACCCCCGTAGTAGTGCATGATGATAGTAGAATATCGGCTGATAAGGTGATAGCAGCTCTTCTATTAGCACTAAAAACATGAAGGCCGCGGGTATGGATGGGGTAGTCAACCTCGAGTTGAAAAACTTGAGTATTGACTTCTTCAACCATCTTACCGTTATCTTCAACAAATGCTTGGAGCTTGGCCAAAGTTAGCCAAACTGATTCCAATACACAAGCCTGGCAAAGATTCTACCAGTGCCATAAGCTATCGCCCCATCAGTCTCTTGTCCTTCATCTCGAAGCTATTCGAAAAGTTGATACTCAGCCGGTTGCTGGAGTTCTCCAACGAAAATAACATCTTACTCAAGGAGAAGTTTAGGTTTAGGAAAGGTTATTCAACGCTCCACCACCTAAGTAGAGTTACTAACATCATCAGGCGGAACAAGTCCGTTTCAAAAACATCTGCTATGGCATTGTTGGACGTTGAGAAGGCCTTTGACAATGTCTGGCATGATGACCTAGTACACAAACTGCATCGATACAACTTTCCGATCTACCTCGTGAAGATTAACAAAAACTAACATTCCAGGTCTACTTGAACAATGTCCCCTCTGATACGTTCAACGTTGAGGCAGGGGCACCTCAAGGTAGCCTGCTTGGGCCTATCCTTTCACGTCAGACGTTCCTCCCCTGCCGGGTGGTGGTATCCTGTCAATGTTTGCAGATGACATCTCCATCATCTATAAGGGTCGACTGATCCGTGCTCTGGCGAGTAAACTACAATCAGGCCTGGATGTTCGGGTCCGACTATTTCAAGAGCTGGAAGATTTGTATCAATGCAGCTAAAACACAAACCATTCTGTTTCCACACTCGAATTCACCTCGGCCCACATCAAGATCCATCTTGATAGCACTCCCATTGAATGGTCGAGTGAAGTAGTCTACCTTGGTCTCACCCTCGATAGCAAATTGCTATTCCGATCTCATGTGGTCAAGACATCCACCAAGTGTAACGTCTTGATCAGGTCGCTCTACCCTCTACTAAACAGGAGGTCCACCCAGTCCCTCAAAAACAAGCTTGCTGTCCACAAGCAGATCATTCTACCGGCTATTGAGTGTGGTATGCCAATCTGGGAGAGTTGTGCCACCACCTAAAGCTTCAGAGGATCCAAAACAAGATCCTCAGAATGATCCTAAACAGTCCACCGCGAACTCGTAATTCTGAGATTGACCACCTGGCCGGTCTTCAAACACTCGAAGAGCGAAAGATGTCCACGCTGGAAAGGTTCAGAGTCGCCTGTCTGCGATCAAACCACCAGATCATTCGTGATTTGGAAACCTAGTTCAAGTAGTTAGGTAGGTTCCTGTGCTCAAGTAGGTAGGTTATCAAATTTTTAATTTCAAACGAAAACAAGCTCTTAAAAGGGTATCCTGTGAATAAGCGCTAAACGCAATCATCACATTAGAATAAGCAATTAACTAACTAGAACTAGATGAAGAGCCAAAGGCTAACCAATTGAAAGGCTAACTTCCGGCCTTTTACCTTCGACGCCAGCAGAATGCAGTAAAAGCAGCGTAATGTCAGTTTATGTACTGTATACATGATAATTTTGTCCTTTTTGGCATGTAATGTTACACAATCTGCAGCACCTAACATTGACCCCTCATTCTCTCGGATTTCCACAGTGCAATTCAAGCCCTCTCATTGGAAGTTCCGGTCCACTCCTGGATCCAGAGCATTGTTAAACAGGCACCTCAGAACACAACCTACTCATGGATTCCCGGACACTGTAGATTCCCGAAGCTAGCCGGGGACGGCCCATCCGGCCGCAGATATATGGAGAGTATTCCACTACAAACGGCTGGTAAACAGCTGGACAATGCGTACCATTGATACCCCACTAGCAATCCTTAGCCTCTTGTCCAGTAACTTCTATCACTACCTCCCCACGGTGCCTGTTGGGGTACGAGTAACCATAGGCAAGATCGGGTAACCAACCCCGGTGGGACCTTGGTCGTATGCTGACAGGGAAGGGGGGACTCCTCTCTCCGGAGAGTGCAGTCTTCGAGAGTCTGTTCACCATGGAGGTGCGGCTCAAAACGGCGTCTGTTCTCCATGTTAGGAGCGGCTGATCAACGTCCTGGTGCTGGAACTGCAAGTTTCTCAATTTCCTGGGAAGTACCCGCATTCTTTCCGATTTATTGAGGGTCCGCAAGTTCGACATCGTAGCGCTGCAGGAGGTTTGCTGGAAGGGATCGTCGGTACATACGTATATGGATGGTTATACCATCTACCAGAGCTGCGGCAATACACATAAGCTGGGTACAGCTTTCATCTTGATGGGCGAAATGCAGAAGCGCGTGATTGGGTGGTGGCC